ACAGATGAAAAACTGCATCAAAACGAAAAGTAAAGAAAATTTTTAGACAGAACTTCACAAGACTTCTTACCTTAACTCTGACCAGAACTTGGTCCGATGCTGTAATCACTGGCTTGGGTACCATATTCAACTGCAATGGTTCCGCAGGAGCTTGCACCTGCCATGCACGCATCAAAGCTTGCCGGGCAACAGCGCTACAGGTTCGGGATATATGCATCTGCAAATTAATTATCAGAGCATGAGAAACACAGTTTCTACTTTACTATAAACAACACACAAAGATGATAAGACGAAGAGAATAAACGTAAAGTCGACTGTAGAACACAATGTGTGCAATGCACCACACCTTTTTCAAGTCGTCAAGCCGACTTTTTTTCGATGAGCACCATCTCGTAATCAGAAGTTTTATTCAATAGCGCCAGTAAAAATGCATCAATACCTTCGTTACACTCTGGCTATAAATATCATTTTGAACAACTGATATTGTAACAAGGGGCTGTGGATTATCTACAGAAATTTGAATAGAAAATGTTTACAAAATTGGCATTAGCTTTTCTGGTACAGGACAATGATGCAGGTGCTGCTGCAGCATCACAGTTCTAGCAGCGACGATCTAAGGCGCGCGCCATACTTGATCCGCTTAATTAATCCGCTTCATCCACTTTACCATTGGTCAGTTCACCAAACTGACCAACGATGAAGCGGATCAAGCGAATCAAGTGGATTAAGCGGATCGAGTATGGTGCGGGCCTAAGAAAACTATTTTGAAATATATTGGGGCAGCCTATTTGCGTTGATGTCAAAGTACAAATGTACAAATAAATAGTCTGCAACTGAGTCTGCAGATTTTATTGTATTTTACACAAAGTAAATACCATGCGGTAGAAGTTATGCTCTAGAAAGCTATACGAACTTTGAGGCTAGACAGCGAGCACATGATTTTTATTGTTTGTTTTCCATTAAATCGCCGCTATTCTCCGGCTGTTGTGTGCGAACCAGCTGCTTGATCTTCAAATGTACTGAACAATGCTCTATGTTTCTTGGGCGATGCGAAACATTGTGATTGATGTAGTTCATCGCAGTAAAAGCAGAATAGTAACATCTCGAAGGAATAGCGATCTTATCAAATACAACAACGACTAGGTTATGAGGTTTCCTTATACACGCTACAGACTAAAATTTAAATGGCAGCAAAAAGTTACATCGGAGGCTT